AATTTTATAAAAAGAGACTGCAGCTGCAAGGGGCTGGGAATGTGTCTCCCTTCAGGTCATGCATTCCCAGTGCCCGGACCACCCATGTGCTGGAGCACGCCGATGCCAGGCACCTCCACGGAGGCGAGAGGCAGGAACGTCTGAACACTTGACCAGGTGGTATCTGGGGTTAATCGGTTCTCGGCGAGTCCCAGCCTTGTTTTAACCAACCTTAGAAACGAGGGACTGGGGGGGTATTAGGTATAAAAGCAGAAACCCTTCCAAAACGATCCACCTTTGCCAAGGAGGTGTGAGAGTGCAGAGGGGTATGTCCACAGAAGGAGGAGAACAGCTTGGCCAAACTGCCCAGGTCTCTGATGCTGGAAGAGCATAAAGTCTGGGAAACAACCATCTTGGAAGCCTGCTGAGAAGTAGAGGATCTCCTTGCAGACAGCGACAGAGAAGATATTGGCTAATGAGACCTGCGGCAGCCCATGGAAGACGGCTCTTCCTCAGCCAGCCCCATCACTCGCGAGCCCTGAGGACGTAGATGAAGCTAACGAGGACCCCCAAGGCCAGGACCGCATAGCTGGCTTTCACACTGCTGGAACCACTGATGTTGCAGAGGAAGGAGTCGCAGCAGTAAACGGAGGCAGCCGCTATGCCGAGGTTAATCCCAGCGCTGGGGCAAATGGGAGAGCATCCTTTGGAGATGGACTGGCCACTTTTGCTGCCTGAATTTAGGTTGGGGCAGGAGGAAAGGAAGAAAAGCAAAAAGGAGACAGGTTTATAATGTTTCTCAGCTTATCACCTGTTCTGCAAAGGAAATAACAGCACTGAAATAGCCAAAGTGTCACAGGTGGCACGGAGAGCATGAAATGCTTCTTGGCGTCAGGCTACGACACTAATCTCAGCAGCCCACAGATCTCAAGGAACACCCATGACAACCTCCCACACAGACTCTAGAGACCACGCAACACCCCAGGGACAACCCCTCCAGGCTGCCGGCCAAAGTTTGGGTTACGGGTCTGGTGAAGAATCTCAAAAATCCCACTCGAGCTTGAGACTCCTCAAGTGAGACAGGGAGCACGGGGCGTACGGAGCACCAGGGAGGCACTCGTGAGCAAAGGCTGCATTTCGAGCATCGACTGCGAGAGAGGCGCAGCACGCTTTTAGCAGCAGGAAATAGGAAACCATTAGCACCGTGCTAAGACAACAGGTTTATAAAAGCTCCCAGCCTCCATTTGTGCATGCACGACCCGCCCATGTTGGGGACCCCGCAACTTGGGGATGCAACACCCCTCCCTCCTGCAAGGGAGAGCAAAGCTTGCCAGGATGGGCTCTGGGCTCTGCAATGGTGCCACGAGACCTGTCAGAGCAGCCTGCTTCCCTGGGAGGAGCAGCCAGGAAGCACAGAACCCCCCCTCCACTGGCACTTAGGGAGGAAACTTGCAAATCTCCCTTCCTGGCAACCCCACCTCATCCACAGAAAGTAAAGAAGCAAAGGTGGGACTCAGGGATGAACAACCTGAACACAGGGCAAAAGCAAGTAGGGCAACCCTGGAGCTTTCCTACACAGGAAGCCTGCAGCATCCTCCACCCTTTCACTTATCCATCAGCAACCTCCCCGCTCTGAAATTCCCCTCAGACTCCCAGCATCGGTCCAGGCACATGGGCTTTAACGTGACTCCATCTGGCAGCACGTCCCTCCTAAAATTCCCTTGGGATGGTCCGACACGCAGCTGCTGAGCAGAACATTCTCCTTTTTCCAGCCAAAAGAAGGAAAGCCTTCCTGCAGCTCAGCAGGTGACCCAGGAGAGCAGCCAAGAGGGTCAGAAGAAGGTCCTGTCGCCACTCACCGATTCCCACTCCAACATACGTCGTCACACAGTGGTTTTCATTCTCCCCGCACTTGACAGGCTTCAGGCAGGCCCAGTTGGAGGATGCATCCGAGCACGAAAAGCAGATGAGCGTGTGGGCTGCAAGGGAAAAGCACACCTCAGTTAGGGGCTGGTGGGGAGACCTCCTCGCTTGGTGGTCCCCACCTCTGACACACGGCACACACCACATCTGGCCACAGGCACGCTTGCTATTCCGTCTGTATCAATCTGCAATAGGGTTTTTTTTTCCCCCCCCAAAAAAATGGCCAAATGAAGGGTTCAAGCATAAGGGATACATTTCGAGCTCTTGGCAGGATCAACTGTCATCTAAAGCCTCGATAAAACCACAGGTCAGCCTGGTACTTCATGGCATGTTCCTGTTTGCACCAAGAGCGGGCTCAAGCTACAGCTACCAACTTGAAACTACAACAACGGAAGCAAGTTCAGGCCCGCAACCCGGAGCCTGAGATTTGGGCTTATTCAGCTCAGCTACCGTGGACACTGATGGGAAATGCTCCAGGTGTGACCACGGGTTCAAGCTTTCTGTGACCTGCCCCTGGCAGCAAGGCACAAAGCTCAGGCTACGCTTGAGCTAGCGCACGTGGTGGAAACAATTTCTCAGCTAGAGCAAACCCAGCACTGCAGCAAGACTTGCAAGGACTTGTACTGTCCCGCTACCCAGGGAGTCATAGCACTACGATGGCAGCACATGCAACCAACCTTTTTAATTTGGAGCAGGGGGACAGCAAAAAAAACCCATGCCTTCCTCCATGGCAGGTCCCCTAAAATGGTTTATCCTACACCAGCAGGATGGACTGCACCAGCTGGCTCCCACCCCTCATCCTCCAGAATTGCCCAAGAAAGAGGAAAGATTGGAAAATAGCATTCAGCAGTGGGAAATGGTTGCAGAAATAGCCTAGACCGGTGACTCAGCAGGGACATATGCACTTTGCAGTGGACGGATGATCTTCTCTGTATTTTACATACAAGAACATCACATCCACGCTGCAATTGTTGACCTACATACGCAGACAGATCAGGCCTGTTCCCAATGTTTCACGGGCTCTGATTTTTGAGCACTCAGACGGCAAGCGCTTCCGTGAGGCACTGCCTTTCTCGTCTGTGTTTACAGGATGCAAAACGGAGCGGGGGCTGATTCAGGATGGGAAGTGCAAGGCAACATCAGTCCTGCTCCCACCTCCTTCAGCCCCACCACAAACAGATTATCCTAAGGAGGTGAAGTCGGTGAAGCCCTGGCAGAGCTCGCTGAGGCTCAGGAGTCCCTGTCATGGAGTAATTTGAAGAACAAGTTGGACAAACATCAGCCAGCAGCTGTCCCACTCTGCTGTGGGGACTGTATGACCTCTTGAGGTTCTTTTCAATCCTGTCTCTCTCAGGAAAAGAAAAGCTTTTTACGGGAAAATTGAGAAAAAAATAACAATTGTGCTCTGAGGAATGACTTTTGAGCAGCCATGGCCAAGGCAGGGGAAGAAAACAAGAACATAATCTCAAGGAAACAGATTAAAGCTTGTTAGTGGGGGGTCCTGAATGTCACATCGGGGCAGCCAGATGACTTTGCTTTGGAGACGAAGCCAATGCCACAACCCCCTAAACAAGAACTTCCTGGACTGTCTCATACATCCTCCAACAATCATCAATCTGCAAACAATCCTTGCAACAAAACAGAGTTACCTGAGCATGCCAACACAGCAGCCACAACCTACGTACAGCACCCAGGATTACAGGGCCACCGGTTGAGTCAAAAGCCCCAGGAGAGATTCATCAGTGGACCTTGCCTCGGGATCTAGGAGAGGGGGAGGATGGAGCCAACCATTGAGCCTACAGGTTGCCATCGTCCCTTGCTGAGCTCTCAGAGCGTTTCCATGGGTGACATTTTTTACCTCATTGGCCAAAACTCAGTCTGGGACCTCGGAGTGGAGCCTAGCCCTCTCCTGCTCCTTTGACCCCATGTTTCTGCTCTCAAGTCTCAGGTGACCTATCCCAAAACCTTCTCCTTGCAACCACTCTGAGGGTAACGTGAGGAGGCAAATTGACTCACCCCATTTCACAGGAACTGTATGCAACCAGGAATGAAGTGGATTATAGGCTTCCCGTGGGCATTATGGCAGGACACATGTCCCCGTATGTATTTGCTCACTACACTGAACGCGCAAGTCGAGTGGAGCAGCGCTGTTCGTTGAGGCTTAGAGGTTCCAGATACAAACGCATCAGAAATATTTGTATGTGCACACAAAAGTGCCTTTAGGCATTCAATTCTCTGCCACGTGACTAAATCTATGCTCTTACCACAGCATCTCCTACTTGTCCCCATGTTTCCCTTTGTCACACCTACCTATCACCCTTTGTCTAAATATAGACAAAATCTTTCCAGGGGAGGTGAGTCTTTCAACGTAGTTTAAGAGAGGAAATATGCAGTCATAACTAGTGCCACTTTCTGCCCCAGCAAACAGATAACTAAATAACCCACTGCAGAATGAAGACAGCAGGCAGGCTGTTTTAGACAAAAGGCACAAGAGGGGTGCAGAATTATTTTACGCAGCTGGAGACAGAGCAAAGAGTTAGAGCTCAAGGCTACAAAAAAAAAGGGGGGAATAAAAGGGGGAAAAAAAGGGGGAAAAAAAGCCAAAGACTGAACAATGCAAAAGGGAAGCCTCGTTTTCACCAACTACAAAATGCAGCCTTCTTCCGCGAAAAGAATTTATGTGTTTATTTGCTTGCTGCTCAGCTCCTCCAAGGAACAAAGAGCAGATCATTTGGGGGAATTCCTCAGATAAGAGGTCGAATCTATTCTTGCGAAGAGTAATGTCAGGAAGAAAAAAAAAAAAAAAAAAGCCTTTAAAAGCCCGCTATGAAGCTCAGCAGCACCGGTGAAAAATGCTGTTGCTTCGGCAGCTCTTGCTCTTCAACAAGATCCTTATATACCACACACAAGATCTTCAGGGCACTTTGAGCAGAGGGCAAAGCTTTTCCGCAAAATACTCCCTGAACATGCTGGAAGTATTTGGGGATAAAGCTACCTGCAACAAAACCCTTTTGTCTGGCTAAAAACTTACTTTTAAAACTGAAAGGTGGGGTTTTTTGGGGGGAGGTGGGAAGTAAAAGCCCTTACTGCCTTGGCCTGGACAACCCATCCTCCCAGCTGGAACTGAGCGGAGACCCAATGCTTGAACTGCCAGTTGCTTCCTGGACACCACGGGGAGGGGGGGCATGGAAAGGGCAGCAAACAACTAGTTTCTTCTCACTGGCGTCCTCAGGAGACAAGAAGGACTTGTGTCTCCTAAGCAGGGACTCAGAAGCTCAGACCTCCTGTTTGCTCTTTGTTTGGCTTCTCCAAGTATCAACATATGGAAACGATACCGGGGTTTTGCACAGCCCCATAGAGTTTGGAGAGCCAGAAATGGAGTCGTCGGGAAGGGATTGCAGATCCTGCAACTTGGACAACTTGCAGTTTAATGCCCAGCAACAGGGCGTACGTTCTCCCCAACTTCGGTGGCAGCCCCAAGATGCGCTCCACTGGGAACGGTCCCTTGGGGGGGTCACCGCCCCACACGTTGGCCACTGCAGCCTGCCCCGAAGGATGCTCGGGG